TATAGATGTACTTCTGTACATCAGTCTGCAATCAAAGATGAAATCTTTACTAGCAAAGTCAACAAATATAAAACGATTTGTCAGCACCGTTTCTGAGTCTTGGTCATGTGTTTCAGGACAATGTGAGGAAATCCAACAGACCACTTATCACAGGGCCAGTACTGCAGCCCAGGCAAAGAATAAGGGATCTCGTGGTTGGCATCCAGGTAAGCTATCAGTGTGCTGCCATAGGCTACAGCCATTACAATCAGAATGTGCCTGGAAGACAGAAAAATAGTAAAAAAATAAATAAACAATGAGCAGAAACAATCCTTTTCACATGAGAGTCAAACTAAATTCACATTTTGTTATGTTTAAGGGACAAAATACTCTCATGTGAGGCTATAAAGACATTCATCCATTCACGTATCCTTCCATTCGTTCATTCATCCATCCATTCATTCGTCCATCCATCCAACATCTTTCAGTGCAGAAGAGCAGCAGCTCTACTCCAAGCTCACCCTGGATGACGGAGCCAATGACAAACCTTATCTCTAAGGCTGAGCCCAGGAAACCCATTTCAACTGCTTGTATCCAGTATGTTGTTCTTTCTGTCATGAGCCATAACTCTTGACCACAGGTGAGAATTAGGAAACCAATAAATCAAGTTTGACCTTAAAATTCTTCTCCACCACAACAGACTGGAGTAACACATTCATTGCTGTGGATAAAGCCCTGATGTGTTGATTTACCTCCTGTCCCATTCTACCTCCACTCATAAACAAGACTCCCAAAATCTTGAGAATCATGGCCTCAGACTTAGAGCAGCTGACTTTCTTGCAGCGGTTGCAAACCTCCAGTGAAGACTGAAGGTCATGCCCAAGGATGCCAAAACAAGTGAATCACCTGCATAAAGCAAAAGCAAGAGCATGAGATTCCCAAACCAGCCACCCTCATTTCCACAACTGCACTTCAAGAGCTTGTCCATGAACACCACAAACAGAAACAGAGATCAGGGACAGCCCTGGCAGAGTTTAACCTGCAGAGCAGGCTCGACTTTTGCTGAGAATGCAGAAATGGCTCTAACACTGGTTACACAGAGACAGTGGCCCCATACGCATGGAGCACTTCTCACAGAATGTCTCTGGGAATACTGGATAAGTCTTCTTCAAATCCACGAAACATGTGTGGACTGACGAGTCAAACTCCCACGACCCTCAAACAACGCTGCAAGATTGAAGATTCGGTCCACTGGTCCATGACCAGAGTTAAAGCCACACGGCGTCTCCTGAATCTGACGTCCGACAATCAGTCGAGCCTCCTTTACAACATCCTGAAGTAAACTTTCCTATAGGGAGGCTGAGAAGTGTGATCCTTCTATGGCTGGAACACACATTCCAGGTCCCAACAAGACTTATAAATTTGAAATATTCTGGTAAGCACACGTGAAACATGAACACTTTGTCTTCCTAAGTGTCAAATTATAAAAACGCTACAGTTTCAAGGTGCTGCAAGAGAAAGGTTGTGACATATTCCCCACAGTATGTAAAATAATATTTAAAAAAAGCCGGGGTAAAGGAACAGATTGAGAAAAAGCAAACGCGAGTGACTATCTGGGACTTACCAGATCCCGTGCAGGTAGCAGAAGTTCAGTCGCTGCCAGAAACTGCAGCCAAATCGGTCACTAATCCAGCAGGCGATGGCGAGCATCCACAGAGCCACTGACAGCTTGGCGAGACGCAAAGCCTTCTGGTCTGTGCAGCTGAGAAACAGAAACTGTTGGTGATGACAGAAAGAAAAGTTGCTTAAAGGAAAATCTTTTGTTCATTTACCATCTCATCTCCAGGGCCAGAATGTAAAGAAGGTGGAGGCCAAAGCAGTTCAAGGCGTAGGCGTTGGCTGTAGGTTTGACGAAGGATGACGCTGTGGTGACAGCCGTTATCAGCAGGACCAGTTTACAAAATGTGGACCTGAGGTTGAAGAGTCGAAGCACAAGCTTTCAGACTGACAGCAACACATGATGTTTAAAGACCTGGCATTTGTTAAAGAAACGCATTGTCCACCTTTCAATCAAGACTTTGAGACTAAGATCACACAGTGGCCAAAACATTATCACCCTTTCACCTTCAGTTAGCAGGTGATGAAGAAATGGATTCTCTGTGTGACAGGAAATACAGATTACAGGCAACATGCACGTCATAAAAATCCCTGCATTGTCAGAATTGTGACTTTCTGTTAAAACATCTCATCTAAAAATGATGCAAAAAAACTGGTCCATGCATTTGTCACGTCTTGACTGGACTATTGCAATGGTTTATTATCCGGGTGTCCAAATACTTCTTTGAAACGTCTTCAGTTGATCCAAAATGCTGCTGCCAGAGTCATAACTGGAGTTAGTAGGAGAGATCATATCTCTCCAGTTTTAGTTTCTCTCCATTGGCTCCCTGTCAAATCCAGAATATAATTCAAAATCCTACTTCTAACCTACAAAGCTCTCAACAACCTAGCTCCATCTTATATTACATATCTTATTGTTCCATATTTTCCTAACAGAGCACTTCGCTCTCAGGCTGCAGGTTTACTCGCGGTTCCTATAGTTTCCAAAACCAGAATGGGAGGCAGATCTTTCAGTTATCAGGCTCCTCTCTTGTGGAACCAACTTCCAATCTCAGTCCGTGAGGATGACACATTATCCAGTTTTAAGACTGGGCTTAAGACTTTCCTTTTTGCTAAATCCTATAGTTAGGGTCGGCTTGGGTTTCCTGAACTGTTCAGGTACTAATGGAAAAGGGGCATTAGTTATGCTGCTATAGGCTTAAACTGCTGGAGGAGAAACTGACCACAATTTTCACTCTACTACTGTCTTTATTTACTCTGCTCAACCTGTTTTGTATTTGTAATTATTTTTTCTATCCTTAACATGTGATTTCTGTCTTTCAGGTACACCTGGACCTGGACCTATACCTGGACCTACCATTCTGTGTTCGTTTGTCTCTCCTTCCTGTCCTCTCAAACTCAGCCAGTCAAAGCAGATGGCTGCTTGTCCTGAGCCTGGTTCTGCTGGAGGTTCCTTTCTTTTAAAAGGGAGTTTTTCCTTTCCCCTGTTGCCACTGTGTTTGCTCAGGATGGGAGACTGCAACAAAGCCAAGATTCAACTTGTCTGCTGGCCTCCTTAGATAGAGAACTTTACTAATTGGCTTTTCTATGTATTTGAATGTTTCTGTAAAGTGCTCTGAGACAACTTTGTTGTGATTTGGCACTATATAAATAAAATGAATTGAATTGAAATTAAATTGTTAGCACGCCTAAAAAAAAAGTTCTCACGGGAAACCGGCTCTCGTCTTGTGTTTAATTATTTACACAGTTTGGGTGGAGCTCCTTTTTAATTTTGCAGCTTCTTTCTGTCTTATAAGGGCAACGACTGCAGCATCATATTATACATTCAGGCACATATAGAGGTGCGTGACAAACTCCTCAGCAAACACAGGTTGGGTTTCACTGTGGTATGCAGCAAAAATGTTTATTTTAGCTTTTTTTTCCTTTAAGTTAACATTTCAGAATCAGAATAAGCTTTATTATCATTGTACTGGGATACAGTGAAATTATATTCGTACAGTCGTCCGAAAGATGGGTGGAGTGCACGTTGCTGCAGCTATAATAGCACAGCCCCTATTATTTATCAGAATACTTTTAGATAGAAAAGGTAAGAGTCATGAGGATGGATAGTGGTATTACAAAAAAGATCTCTTCACATCTTGTCCTATCAAGACATGATTTGAGACATTAAAAAACTACCAGCAAGCACATTTATAAACATGATTACATATGCATTTGATGTCAAGATGTTGAGATTTGTCCATGAGCACTTTCAGATAGGCCACAGTCCTCATGTTGGGTGGGGGGTGGCGATAGACCAAGCTTTGTCCCTAGTTACTCATGTCCCAGGAGAAATTTGATAGTCAGCTTGTATCCGAGGCCAAACAGGGGAATCAGCTTCAGATAAGCCACAATTGTTAATTTCCTGCAGGCAGACTGTTTTTTTCTTGTCAGCTTTGAGTCCTGCTGGAACTTTCCCAGTCCAAAATGGCCAGATATATGGGTATTTCACTCCACTGATCCGTGTTATTAGCCTTCCTCAAGGTCGATCCCAACATACTGGCGAGTCCTAGAAGCCACAGGTGACCAGTGAATCTCACAAATCGCCTCCATCTTAAGGTTTAGCTCATAAATCAGCTGATTTTGAGTACTCATAGCACGAACCAAACGAACCACAGACTCACAAGCTTTGCCATGGCTGAAACTGCTGCCATTGTCTTCTTCAAATGTTGATAAAACAGAGCCACGCCAATGCCAAAGAGCAGAACCCTGCTATCATAAATCCAAATATATAAACATCTTCAGCGTCCTCCTGAGACAAAACTGAGAGACACATCAGCTGCCAAACTCTCCACGGATCTCTGATGTACCCCACAGCACGAGTCTCAGCCGGACAAGAGGGTTCTCTCCTGTCGTTTCGTTGAAAAGATTTTGTCGATTGCGTTGACAGTCCAGCTCACCAGATCCATAATAGTATTCAATAAAAACAATCAGTTAGGATCAACCTGTGCAGGATTAGTTCAGTTGTTTATTGGATTAATTGGTGCAGGGCAAACTTACCTGTCTTTTATAAAAGAGGGAAATTGTTTGCGAGGGAACCAAACAGCATATCCAACAGCCAGCACCCACAGGATGGACAGCTCGTCCAACATCTGACCAACGAAGCTAAGAGTCATGTGGAAGTACGCAGAGAAAAGCCCTAATGAAAACAAAACAATAGACAAGTTTCACCGCATTTGAAAAATGATTGTCTTGCAAACAAGCTTGATCTACATTGTGCAGCATTTTTTTCCCAATATTTTTTAGACCTAATACAATTTTTAAAAGGTTTTTGTGGGATCTAAAGGTGAGACTGGCACGCCTCTGTGTGAAATAATTTGATGGTAAACAATAACAACGTGGATGAAAAGACTGACTTGCCTACAAATATCATCAGAACCCAGACCATGTGGATCGCCAGGCTCCTCTCTTTGGCATAAGGATGCAGCAGGTAGAGCATGATGGGAGATATGAGGAAGAAAAAAAAGCTGCTCATCTGCAGGAAAAAACATTGATGTATTAATCAGTGAAACAAAAAATAGAAAGCAGATTCTGAATATCGCAGTATTTATCACCAAACTAATGTTTCCTGGGTGATGCTAATGTTCCCGCAGAACTTACAGTGTTAAAATACTCCACGACATGATCCGAGTGTTTGTAGTTGTCTTCACACCAGTCGATCTCTGAACTCTCATAAGCAAAAACATCTGCAATCTTCTCACTAGAATAAACACCTGCAGGGTAGTGGACGAGAATACAATGACCACATTTGTCCGGGGGTTAAGGGGGTGCACACTTGCTGTTTCATACATTCAAATTAAGGTTTTCAGACAATACTGCTCCTCGCAGATCATTTGAATACAGGTAGTTTATGAAAATTACATTCTACTCTCTCTGAGAGTGGTAAAAAAAAAAAAGAAATGCCTTTCTGATATCCAACAAGGTCAGGTCCTCTGGACGGATTCTTCTTTGTTGAAACTTTTCGTCTTTTATCAAAAAAGACTTCTTCAGTGTGCAGAGCTGCTACAAACTCAGTCTTATAAATACAGGGCCGGTCTAAGGCATAAGCAAACTAAGCGGCTGCTTGGGGCCCCGGGGTCACTAGGGGGCCCCCTAAGTGGAAGCACAGGTTTTAGGAAGTTTGTGAAGTATTAAGGAATAAGTAACAAACAGGTTAAATGTGTGGGTAAAGGTGGTTTAAGGTTTTAAGATCAGCTTTTGCAAATTGCATACATTTACATAGTTTTAAGAACTAATTATTCAACTTAAAATTTATTTTTAAACCATTTTACGTGTTTCAAGAAACTGATCATTTACATTAATCAAGTATTTCCTTGATATTTTATTTATTTTATTTTGTCTGTTTTTGTACAATTAAAATTATTTTTATGCATCTAAGTTATTTTATCTTTTTTTTGTTGATCCTGCACTACAAATTATTTTGAACATTACTGGTGCAGGTCTTTGGAACTAAAGATAATGAACCAGATGACACTTTTGCTGTAAAATACATTTCATAATGGTGTTTTTTTTTTTTGTTGTTGTTGTTGTTACTTTTAGTATCACATGATTTATACATATAGGATAATTCAAACAGGGCTCAGAGTTGCAATAAGTTTATGTTAGGTGGGGTAATGATCTGATCATCTGACTTTTGATTGCAGTAATCCAAATTATTAGCAGAAATAGAGGGCCCCAAACCTAATTTCACTTGGGGCCCCATGGAGGCTTGGCTGGCACTGTATAAATAGCACCTTCTCATAGTGGATCAATCCGTTTTCTGTTGACATCCAGAACTAGCTGTTCACATAATGAAGGAGGACCATCAGCCTAACGATGGATCGTTAGTGCCCCGATGGCTGCTTGCTTTTCGCAGAAGGCTGAATGATACTTGCAATAACAAAAGCCTCCACCCCGGTTTAATGATGGACGGGTTGTCTTCACAAAGATGGCTTCCTTCACTCCTCTCTCAAACCAGCATTCCTCTCTATCAAGGATGTGCTCATCTTCATCCCTGAAGAAGAATCCATCCAGAAGACCTGGCTTAACCTTGTTCGATTTTTCTACCTGGATTATTGAGCACGCATCAGAACACCTTCCTGATCATTTTCTTTGAAGTAACAAATTAAACTTGGCAAAATGTTTTTACAAGCTTTTATTAATGAATTTGTTTCAAAACTTTAAAAACTAATTAATGCTCTTATTGTTTCAATTTTCAAAGCATTTTAAAGACAAATTTTCAACGCAACATTTCCAGTCAAAGCTCAGCTAGACTCTTTTTTTCTCTAATGGATTCTCCACCTCCTACAAAACGTTTTGCTAACAGTTTTCTCATCGTCGTCAAACTCTTTCTTGTCAACGAGAACGTTAGGCAAAGACTATCAGGGACTTAGTGAGTCCATTGTTTTATTATCACCAACGAAGGTGAAAAGGCAATAAAGCTTTGGGCTATGTCAATAGGCAAGCGCGCGTGCGCTAACAAATTGTGCAAAACATTTGTTTAAAGTTTTGCCATTAACTGTTTAGAGTCAACTCTGTCCATCAGAAACATAACCCATGAACCATTGCGTGGATGTTGGTAAAATTCCCAAGAAATCTTCATTAGATACGTCTAATAAAAAGTATCTAAGGTGTTAGTATAGAACAGGGATATTCAACTGGCGGCCCGGGGGCCAAATCAGGCCCACGGGTGTGCTCAGTTCAGCCCACTAAAGGGTTTATTTTTAATTAAAACTAGATTTAAAATTGTAAAACAAACTTGTTTAATGACAATAACTGCTGGACATCTGGCCCCAGAGCTCTTGACTTCCAGTAAATGTGGCCCCTGAGCAATTTAGCTGAATAGTCCTGGTATAGAATAAGAGGTGCCTCTACACCAGATTAACAATTGTAGCCAATTAATACATTAGCTCCAAAAGTTAAGACAAGATGGCTGCCGTGGCTCTAATTCTGTGGATTTTACAAGGATTCTGCTACAATTTGGCATGACTGGAGCTGAGAGTTGACATGCTACTAATTGACCAAATCTTTTGCTTTAAACTTTGGCATTAACAGTTAAAAACATCAGTGTTCATTTGTTAGCACAATATCTCGTGACCCACTGGATAAAATTTAATGAAACCCTCAGAAAGTGATCATTCGATTACATATCTAATTCATTAACCTTCTGTAGTCAGCCTAATTCATGACATCAACTACACTTAATCAAACTTATCCAAGACAAAAAATAACTAACTCAGTCAATTTTACAAGAACTGAGCTCCAATTTTATGTGCTAGTAGCTGTGAGTCATCCTCAAAACATACTCTGAGCAGTACCAGATTACTCAAGATATCATAATATTGCATGAGTTTGCAAATAACATCATTTAAAAGGTTTGTACAAAATTACTATAACTCCATCCCCTCTAACATCTTGGTGTAACTTTGGTACAAGAGGCAGCGGGTGATATACATTCCTTATAGGCCTTTAATTTGAGCTTCAGCAGGGTGCCATTGTTTTTATTACCAATAAATAGATCAACGGTAATATTTGGTTCATATTAGTGGAAATATTAAATTTTGATTTGTACGTATGACATTTCCATATTGATAAAATTCAGATTTTCTCATCAACAAATTGAAGCTAAAACACGATTGCAGGTTTTTCCAGCAGTTTTTTTTTTTCTTCATATTAAGCTGTTTGAATGGCGTGTTTCATGTTTCAACTGTTGCATTTTAGCCAAGTTTAGCCCATTTTTGTAGCCATTTCTCTGCAAATATAATTCCCCGGGTTGTACTTTTCTTAAACTGAGCATCTAGTGGACCTCAGCTCGTCTCAAACAGAGTTAGGAGCCATCCATTGCTTCACAGAGAAGATGCTTGAATACTTTGGACTTTTTTTGGACTGCTAATTAAAAGTTACAATGCGCCCAGAGTTTCTCAAAACATTTGGGTTTTCCAGTGATTTGACCTTTTGTCAAAACCAATCAGGGCCTGAGGGAAAAGGTTTGAGGCTAAAATTCCTCTTATACTTACAGGAAGACCAGATCCCAGATGGCTTCCACCTAACCACACCTTTTTTCTTTTTAAAACCTTTTGTTCTTTAGGGCTACTTCAAACCCACCGATCATCTTGTCAAGATGAATATTATGAGTTGCTCCATCAATAATTCATGTGCATCAGAAAGGAAAAAAAAGTGGTATAAGTAGGAATACATTTATTGTTTTTCTTGTTCATTAATCTGCCAGTTTGATGTTAACCGTCTGTCATAACTTCTTGGACTCCACATATCTATAGAACAATTTAACCAAAATATAATATAAATAATTTGCATTCAGACTGTTTCTTTAAGTGGAGACTATTTCCAGACCTTGCCAGAACTTCAGCACTGACTGTAGCCCCAAATTCACATGAAACATCCAGAAGAAGTTATTCTGACACAGCGGGACGACTGGTGGACCTTTATCCAGGCACCATCTTCAACTCAAAGGCCAAAAACAAAGATTTAATCAGGATATGAATTTGAAGCTGTAACTCTTGTTACAATCTACACGTTTGCTTTTCTTGATTTAAATGGACTGTACTTGTATAGCACCTTTCTATCTTATCAAGACATTCAAAGCTCTTTACAACACAATCTGTGTCCTCGTTTACCCATTCATACAACACTCTACTAGATCTCTACAACGCTAATTGAACAAATCATTCTAAAGGGACTAATCAGAGCTTTTAACACATTCATACACCGATGGGACACACATCGGAGGCAACGAGGGGTTCAGGGTCCAGGGACACTTCGACATGTGACTGCTGGTGGATTCGAACCCCCAACTCTTGCATTGAAGGACGACTGCTCTAACCACTCAGCCACAGCCGCCCTACAATTTAAATTTAAAGATCTATAATGATCCTCTGCTTCTTGAGTTGAGGCTCTGTCAGTTTGTCTTGAATGCTTCAAGATCATTTTGTGGCGGACAAAAGGTTAATCTCCATCAAAAATCTGCTCCCACACATCAAACTAAGACAAAGTCTTGCTTTTTATACATAAAATGTTTCTGAAAGAGGAAATCTTGCAAGTTGGCACTTTTTCATCCGTTGTTTTTTTTTTACAGCTAGGGTGTTGGGGAAATGTTTCTAGTATATTTAGCTCGTTGTTTTCCGAAGAATAAATCCTGGCAGTCCCAACATTATGATCCATCAATCATTGAAGACTGGTGTCAGCCTGAAAATCCTGGGTTGTTCAGAATGTTCCTGGATGCTCAGGGGCCACTATGGTGGTAAAAAAAAAAAAATCACAAAAGCCTCAATATGCTCAGCTGTGAGTAAATATATGAGACAGGAAGAGTGCTCCAACTGTGACACACGGTGTTTTAAATTAAGTGAAAAGTTGCAAGTTTGACAAGTGTCGACCTGGAGACGGAACAATCCAGCTAGCTGATTTTTAAAAGTGTGTGTGTTAGTGAGCAGAACCCCCCAGGGATTGAACCAGTTCTGGGTGGCAGAATATTTTTGCCCTAAAGGGATAGTCTACTTATTTTAAGTGATGTTCTGTCAGATAGTCATCAGTAATTATCAGCGGTGACATGAGAGCACGGAGAATGGAGAAAAGAGCATAAGTGCTCGTCCAAAGTACGTTTGTTTTTATTAAAGCCATAATAGCTGTCAAAATATTCATTTTTTATTTGCTTTTTAATTGTATTGGTGAAATAAAAGATGTCTTCCAAAATAGTCTTTGAATTTGTTTATTATAATAAACAGCCACATGATGCTTCACGCAGGAAGTGTGTATAACAGAAAGTTCAGTCCAGCTTTAAAGCTCTCGTTCTTGTGATAACGATGGGTCAGAAAGGAACTGTGCTCGGTGTTCTCTGATAACTGGGCTGCTGTCTTAGATGTGCTCCCGTTCTAGATTAAACATGTTAGACAAGATATCAATCATGAGATGTATTTGTTCTATTCTGACAAAACAGGAGATGCATGATTCATTGTTATTTCAAAGCTCTATGAGTATAGTGTTTTCCATTTTATATTTAAGGTAAAGTACCAAAGTACTCTGTAACTGTATTTTTTAAATTTTACTATGTGTATCATCTATGATAAAAACAATCACTAAATTTGCATTATTCACTAACAAAAGTCTACCACAAGCTGTAACGAATGAGCAAAATCAGCAAGATCATGTTTTGTTGCCAACAATTAAACTCGTTTGTTTACATTCCAGCCCTGACAGTAAACTTCAGACGTTCTTGTGGCGCAATGAACATGAAGTTGGTAAAATGAAAAGTCAAGAGACTCAGAGGGAGAAGGATCAAATCAGACACCCCAGGATGAAAGTTCGCTTTTCTTCTGAAGTCTTAGTTGTAAACAAAGGTGAGGATTTCCTTCTGTTAGCAAAATAGATTAGGTGGCCATGAGATGGTCAGGATGGCCTTCACAGCTCATAGACTTTCTGGACGTGTTTCAAACTGTGCAGCGTTCATGAAGTTCAGACAGCGTCATGCTCTCCCTCTGTTTCACTATTCATTTGTCACATAGTTTTTGTCTCATTGTGTCAAGCTTTTCCAGCAATTTGTCCACCCAGTTTACCAGATGCTACAATCTCTTATTGTTGCCATTGTATGTACATCATGTGTTCATTTTCAAAAGTTATTTAGTCTTTTATTGAGGTTCGTTCCATTGACTTCAATACATACAAGGAGCTGAAAACTATTTCAACATGACTTGAGTACATGAGCTTTAACTTTTATGTTGTGTTATTGGTGTTTGTCTTTCTTCCATTGTTTCCTCCAGTCTATGGTACAGGTATAGAAATAAAACTGGCATTGACGTAAATAAATTTCATTTCAGTGTGGTTTGTCCTAAAAAATTATCCTTAAAAAGTGTTTATATATATATATATATATATATATATAAATATTTTTTTATTAATTAATATTAATATAAATAATTGAATATATATATATATATATGTGTATATGAAAAAGGCAGCTCTCCTACCTCCCATGCTGCTGCGGTCGTGTCTCAGTCTCCAATAAGTCAAGTGGCTGCTCCGTGGTTGAACAGGTGGATGAAAAGGGGCGGGGCTTCAAAAACGCGTGACGTCACTGATAATCGCGCTGCCTCGCAGGTTTGGTGGCAAAAAGCATTGGGTAAAATAAAATAAAAAAATAAAAAACGTAAAAAGAACTCGTCGGGCCTGTTTTTCCTCATCTGTAAACTTGCAGCCTGGCAGCACGAGGAAACAAAACAAATAACTGGAAAAAGAGTTCGCAGGTAAAAGTCTTGTCCGTTTTACTGAAAATACCGGTTCAACCGTTTCAAAATAAAAGTATCAACAGGCTGAGTGAGCGTTAAACACGCATCATGAAGGTATTTGTGACTGCGGGTCATTCCCCCCAAAGCAGGAAATCCAGCTTGTGTATAACTCACGCAACAATGCAGCTATTGATCATCATATCAATATATTGATAATAATAATGTCATATGCTGGAAAAACATTCAGTTTTGTTTGTTTATAAAAAGCAGTTCATAGCAGTACTGTACATTATAAATGCAAGAAAGTCTTACTAAGAACAAGACTGTGCAAAAGTTTTAAGCTTTCCTCATATTGTCTGTGTCTGTTAGCAAAATATCTCTTGAACCACGGGCTGGATTTTTAGGAATCTCACAAAAATCAACTACTTAAATTAACATCTACAAACTTTTAGCTTTTGGAGTCAAATCGAGTCAAGATGGCCATCACAGCTAGCTGAACCTAAAAACACAAAAATGGCTATAGCTCACTCCTTTTTTCACCTGTTAAACTAAATTTTGCTGTGTTAGTAGTTGAGACTGACCACTAACAAATATTTTGAGCGCCTTCAGACTGCACACGTCATTTGCTTAAAACAATTGCTATAAATATTAAAGTTACCTCTGTTTGTCTGTTAGCAAAATATCTCATGAACCACTTGCCAGCTTTTATTGAAACTTTCAGAAAGTAATCACTGGGTGTACACGTTGAGATAATTAACTTTTGGAGTTGGTCTAATTCAAGATGACTGCTACAGCTCATTCGAATCAGCCAACACAAAATATCTATGTCTGTCTGTTTTACAGACATTGTGATAAATTTCAGATTGGTAGTAGCTGAGAGTGATGTGAAAAACATACCCTTAGCATGAGAATATGCTTAACTTTATCTTTAAGGTTTAACTAAAACAGGTATTATGTCTTCATTTCTGTCAGGTTTTCTGAAGGCCTGTCAATGATTTTCTTTTAATATTGGCTGCTTTTTTTTTTTCTATCCAGTCCTTGAGCCTGACAATGACAACATATATGTCTAAATAAATGGAGGACCATAAAAATGTAAAGAGCAAAAGAAGAAGAGCTAGACTAAAAGAAAGAAAGAAAATAAATGAGTGAGTGAATGAATGAATAAAAATAAATAAAGAAGGAAAGAAAAATTGACATTCTGGCGTCCGGACCCTGTTTTGGATCAGCAAACATCTGGTTAGGGGTCCTGAGAAGATCTTCAGAAATCAAATTAAATTTTAAAGTAATCACTAAAATGTTCGCTTTATTCGTTACAAGAAATATAAACGGCAATTAAAAGACAGTTTTGGCCCTTGTTAACGTAATTATTAACATTTCTGTACTTTAATTATCGATAGTCTGGGCTCAAGTTGTAAACAACTGTATGTCAAGTTTTAGTTTTTTTTCTTCTAATAATCAGCTTTTTGGCTAAGTCTGACTCATCAAGTCAGAGGGATGTGACTTAAACAAATGAGGAAAAAAGGTACTGAACAAAAAATTGTGAAAATGCAGTCAAAATAATATATATATATATATATATATATATATATATATATTTTTTTTTTTTTTTTTTTTTTTTTTTAAAGATCTTTGAAAAAACACAGATTTGCTGCTGGATTGTGGTATTAAAAAAAACCACAATAAGGAAATGACTGTAGATGTGAACTTTAATACTTGGGTAAATTGTTTACTCACACATTTTCAGTAAGAAGAGAAAACAAGGTTTGAAGCACCAATCACGAGGATTTGTTCAATCCAATTACTGCAGCAGAGCTTTAAGTTTTAAGAGCTCAGGTGGCCTGAAAACAGCGCAGATGCTCTCACAAGTTGAATCCGGTTTTAATCAGTAAAACAAAGCCCCGCCTTCCGAAACACCCTGAATCCTGTCTGCATGTTGTTTTCTGCATGATGAATTAAACCTGAGCTTAAAATATACACATCCTTAAAACAATCAAGAATCATGTCACTGAGTTAATGGAGTAAGAAGGGTGACACCTGCTCCTCACTCTACTACACTTTCACATTCCTTGTGCAAATTTAAACATTTTTAGCTGTTTTTTCAGCTATTTTGTGCTCCTTTCAGCTTCTTGCTAACAATTTAACATTTTTGTGCTTCTTCTGACTTCTTTCTGTTAATTTCAGCTTGTTCTGCTCCTTTCAGCCTATTTCTGCAAGTTTCAGCTTTTTATACCATTTCAGCCACTATTTAGCTGTTTTATGCTAATTTAAGCTTTTTCAGCTAATTCCACATTTTTTTGCACCCATTTCAACTTTTTTCAGCCTAACTGAGCAAGAATGTGCTGTCTCCACTTCCTTCTGATAATTTCAGCTTCTTTCTTCCTTTTTAGCTACTTTTCAGATGTTTTTTTGCTAATTTTTTTTTCAGATACTTTCTACTTTTCTGTGCTTATTTCTGGCAAACGTGTTCGTTCTGCTTGCTTACGTTAATTTAAGCTTGTTCTACCTTTTCAGCTAGCTTTTTTTGGTGTTGCTTTTTTATAGCTAATTTAATCTGTTTTCATATAAATTCAAGTTTTCCTTGGTAATTCCTGCTATTTTCAACTTAATTAACTTCTTTCTGCTAATTTCAGCTTGTTAGGCTCTTTTCATCTTTTTTCAGATAGTTTCAGCCTTTTCTGCTATTACAGCTACTATTTAGCTGTTTTTATGCAAATGTTTGCTTATTCAGCTAATTCCACTTTTTTTAACTCATTTCATCTCTTTCAACTTCCTTCTCATAGGTTAAGCTTTTTTCTGTCTTTTTGGCTCATTTTTAGTTGTTTTTTTTGTGTGTGTGTGGCGCAAATTTTAGCTTTTTTAGTGGATTTCCTAATTTTTGTGCTAATTTCTGCTTATTTAAATCCAATTCATTCCAACTAAATTCCAGCATGTTTTTTAAGCTAATTCCAGCTGTTTTTCAGTAGTTCTTCTGCAATAAGCATTCACACTGCATTTTGCAGGAAATGTAATTTCTCTAGTTTGTTTTGCAGTCAGTCCGGTTAGTTTACTGACCAGCAACAACTTAATTAATGTATTCACCCTTTAATAATCAGAACTCGGGCACTAAAATAGAATCTGTTAACTACAGGGAGTTCTATACTAGAACATGAATATTCATCCAAATGAGGAGACCAAATTTGTTTTTTACATTTTATTACAAAAAAAAATAATCCAGAAAAAAATCATCAACAACATTAAACACATTGAACAATACAAATGATAAAGCATAAAATTTTGGAAAATAATTTGTTTGAAAAGTAGTAAAGCAATAATGAACAATTTGAATGATAATTAATCAGAGATTAATACTCTTTTATCTACGGTGAACCTCTGTGAGCAGGAATTATTTTGGTATTTATACGCGCATAAATTTAGACAAAGTTTAAGTCTTTGATCAATAGTTTACTTTAGAATTTGTTTGAAAGATGTTATTGAATGTGACAAGATAAAGTCATTTGTTATCACTGCAAGCCAGGAAATGATTTCTCAAGCTGCATCAGCATGACCAGCATAACCAGACCCAAAGCTGCGTTCATGTCACCAGGTCCCAGCTCCTTACCAGGTCAGTGCTGATGAGTTCACTCATCTTTCCAGGGTTCTGCTGGCGGATCAGACCAGGATACACCACGAGGAGAGGACTAGCCAGGCACAGCCGAAGGTAGCCGAAAGTCACTGTGACGCCTTCAGAGGTCGGTGAGGACGACAGCTGATGAGAAGATGTGCGGGTGATCGACAACCTTCAGCTGGTTTACACTTTGAGCTAAAAACGTGAGTCACAGTGAGAAAAACAACACTCCATCTTCTGTAGACACTGAAACTCTACTTTGCTGCTAACAAAAAAATGTTCCTGAGCAAACCTTGTGTTTTGTTTGCTCAGCAATAAAAGAGACGGATATCAGACGAACACGTCCGGATGTGGAAAACAGAAGAAACTGAAAAGTGTCACACAAAGAAACCTTGAGTGAACTCTCAGCTCTCAGAAGTGTTTTGGTGAACTCGCAAATATTATGAAGTAAACGGATTCAAGGAAAAGTTATTTTCTGAAAAGCAGAACAGAGAAGTTTGTTTAAACACACTATGATACTTCAGATTTTATTATGATGATTGAAAACTATAATCTACATTATTCAAGACAAAAGGTACTCACTGCAAAGTAAGAAATCAACCATTAAAAGATTATCTTGAATTAACGTATGTTCCACCGTACACGTCGCTCCGCCCTATAAGTCGCATCTGTCCAAATGTGTCTAATAAAGTGGAAAAATCCATAAATATGTCACTTCGTTGTATATGTTGCATTTATTATGCATCACTGCTACAACCCGGAAATGTGGGCCGGTGTTGTGTCAAAAATCGATTGGCTGCCAAATGGCGGCCGCGGGAGCGCGCACGGGAGGACTTTAACAAGAATAACACTTAAAAACAATTATTTGTTTGCTCAAAATTATAGTAAAGGCGTGTCGCAGTTTAACTTTTACTTAATAAATGCAATTTGTCGGTCAAATCAGCTGCATTTCAAAACTCGATTCGCTGAAGCAGGCATGTGCAGAGGGATGAGCTGCTGCTCATTTCTTCAAAAGTTACAAGATAAACACCTAAAAACAATTGTTTGTTTGCTCGACATTATAGTAAAGGTGTGTCTCAGTCTAACATTTGCTTAATAAATCCACTTTTAACGGTCAAATCAGCTGCATTTCAAAAGTATTCGCTGCCTCGGTGCTCCTGGGAGCGCACAGACAGGGAGGAAAAAAGGAAGGAGAAACGCTGCGCATTTCTTCGAAATTTATCAAGATAAGCACCTAAAACAATTATTTGTTTGCTCGACATTATAGCAAAGGTGTGTCTCAGTTGAACTTTTACTTAATAAATGCACTTTAATGGTCAAATCAGCTGCATTTTGCTGAGGCGGTGCAGCAAAATGCAGCTGATTTGACGGTTGCTCCGAGCAGCAAGCAGAACGAAGGTGGCAGGCTATGGCAAGCCGATTGTGTCATTAATAGCTGGTGAAACTTCTCACTCATCCAGGACATGGTAAATTCAAAAAAGTTCAAGACAAAAACAATAAAGTATAAAGCAAAGTATAATAAATAAAGTCCAGCGGTTTTTGTCTTGAACTTTTTTGAATTTGTCATTAATAGCCACTTTTACCAATTACATGATACAACGGCATGCCTTACTACAGTACCCGAGTGCCATCTAGCGACTGAAAATGGTAGTGTTCAATATTTTCAGTCAGAATGAATGAAAACAGTCATATCTCAGCCAAAAATTGGTTTATAAATATGAGAAAAAATTCATAAATATGTTGCTTCGACGTATAAGTCGCAGGACATGCAAATTATGAAAAAAAAAAACGTGAATTATAGGGCGAAAAATACGGTATATCAAATGATGCAGATTTAAAAAGTTTACTCCAGTAATGTTTCCAAATACACAGATGGGCAATTCTGAAACGCAGGTCCACACTCAACATAAACAAAACACTTGGCTGAATCTGATTAAAGCCCCAGGTAAAATTGAGTCACATGACTGATCTACTTTAGAGATAAACAAAAATGGCCAATAAGTTTAAATCATTTTTAGTTGCATGCAGTAGTGTGGCTCTGGTCATAAATTTAGCTTACAAATCCTTAAGGACACATTAACCATCAAAATGAGAAAAAAGAAAAATAATTGGTAAAAAAAATGTTCGTTCATTGTTTTTTCTTTTTACATTTTAAATGGCTTTGACCTGTTTTTCCACTTCTTTACAAAACCTTAATACTTAAAAAAGAACAAAGCATTTTGTTGAGTCTTTATTTCTCTTATCGTCTTAATTTACAAAATCATATACTGATGATGGACTATATATTTTTTCTTTACAAAACTTAAACATGAGTGCAAAAAAGTAAAATGGAGGGAATTATAAAAGTAAAAGTTTTCAGTGAATTCCCCTTTAATTAACTGACGGTACTAAACAGTGCAAAATGTTCTCAAGGTAAAAATATAAAATTATGTTGTTTTTTTATTGTTTTTAAAAGTTAGAAAAATAAAAACAATATTGATGATATAAAAATACAAAAAAAACCCAGTATTGTTCTTGTCAAAAGCCGCGATTAGCTGAAGCTGGTTCGTTCCTTTACAAAGTTGCATATTGTTAAATTTTATACTCTTATTTTACAGTAGTTTGTTGATTTAATCAAAAACCCTGAGTAATAATGGGCAGTGATTTTTAGAAAAGCTGGTTGGAAATAGAAACACTGCAGACACCAGGAAGCAACGCAGATTTTTCAGTTCATATTTCTATTTTTGGCAGAATTGAAGTTTTGAGTCTTTTCAGGAAGAACCGATCTTCAGAGAAGATGTTTGACAGCAGGTGAAGTCAAAAGCTTTGTTGCCAGGTCAGTCAGAATAGGACCGTCTGACACTTCACCAGACATGAAACCTGAGCAGCTCCTCACCATGACATCCTTTATGGTCTCTTCATGCAGCAAGGTGATGGAAAATTAATCCAGGCTCAAATTTCTGCATTCGAGCCTTGTTTAAGTCCTTAAACAAGAACTGTGCAAGCTGAGCTCAGGTAGTTTTTTGAAGACATGCTCCTTTTGCAAAAATATGCCTATTAGTCAGAGAGGTGTGCAGAAAAATTCTTCATCAGATCTTTTCCACGTAGTTACCAGGAAAGAGACCTTCCTTTCCTCGAATCCTGCCTGTCCACCAGCCTGACGGATCTGAAGAGACAAACACAGTTGATATTATTCCTGTTCTGAGCTTCACTTCCTCCCCAACTTTTTAATTTTTGTCCACCCACCTTCTCTGACCAGATCAAACACGTCATCGACCTCGAAGCTGATTTCGTCTGTGTCCTGGCCGACGTACTGATACAAGGCACGGCAGCAAGGACCCTGAGGTCGCGGCTGAGGTTTAGGAGCGGGAGGAGGTCGACGGCTGATGCTCTGTCTCCTCTGCTTCCTGTCACAATTAAGACAGAAGAAATGTGCTGCTGAATGTTGATCGAGTCACAGCCATGTTTGTGTTTCCAATATGGTTGACTAAAAAAGTAAAGGTTTTTGCCTTTTGCAGCGAATGATTTGTTTCTGTAAACGCACCCTTGGTTTTTAGGTGGAACAAAGTGAAGTCAGTCCCTTTCAGATATGTTACACCACCCTGACCTCAAGTATCACATTTTTTTGTTTTATTTAGAATTAGTTGATTTAACAGTCTTCTTTGTACTTTTCCTCTGCATGGAGCACTTGGGTTTTTTTTAAAGGGCAATGACAGAACATTTTACACATAAATACATAATATTTATCTGAATATAAGAAGTGGATTGGATAGAATGACTCGCTCTATATGACCAATATTTGTGTGAAAGGTGGTAAATATGCAAAAGGGCATGTGCTTACAGAAACCAGCAGTTCCTTTTTGCTGACTTCACGCAGAGAGAAAAACACTGAGCCTCACCCAAACAAGCCCTAACGACTTTTCTGAACCTGTACGCACCGGTTTCAGTGAGTAAATACCCTCTGCCCTTTCTGTCATCAAACCTTTGCCCCTTTTTTTTCATACTTCACAAGTCTTTAGTCTTTCTTACCCTGACATGCCTTGATCAGGCACATTAAGGAAGTCCAGGTTGCCATGGTTAAGCTGGTTGTGGGCTGTAGCTTTGGGATTCTTTCGTGAGCCCAGTTTGGGCAGGGCGCCGCCGGGCGGCCGGTTCTGTTTGTGCGGAGTTGTATATGTGATTTGTGACTGATGGGCCGGATTGGCGCTGGAAAACTTGGGTGCTCCATTCTGGTGTGCTGTGAGGAGAAACATCAGAGGAAGACTGAAATCAAGATTGGCTTATTTTAATTTTATCAGTTAGGAGAAGAATGATCAAAGTTTATCTACAACAAGAACATGTCATTTGCCTGGCAGGCCCTTCAAAACGATTTTCTTTAAATCTGCTTCAGTGTGCTCAATCTATTTTTGTCTTCTTTTTGCTATATTTGTAGCTTTTATATAGTCTTTTTCTACCTGTTGAGCAAGCATTTTGCTACTTGTAGCTGGCCTTTTGTTACTTTTAGCTTTTGGCTAGTCTTTTGCTACCTTACATTGTAGCTAGCATTTTTGCTCACATTTTGTGTAGCTTGAGTTTTTTACTTTTAGTTTTCAGCTAGCATTTTATTACCTTTAGCTAGCTGTTCTGCAAGTTTTATCAAGCATTTTGTTACGTGTAGCTAATATTTAGCTACTTTTAGACTTTCATTAAACTTTTCCACGTTTATATAGTATTTTTACTGTAGCCTTCAGCCACTGTTCTGTGACAATTTTTAACTAGTGTTTTAATATAGCTACCATTTATTTAATTGAAGCTAGCATTTAGCCACTTTTAGCTAGTATTTAACTTTTTTCCTTTTTTTTTCAGCTTTTACATATATTTGGTACTTTAAGTCCTTGGCTGTCATTTTTTCTTCTTTTTTTTCTTCAACCACCCTTCTGCAACTTTTAGTTAACCTTTTGCTATTAGATTATTGTCATTTTAGCTTCTGTTCCTGTTGCTTGTTATAACTTTAATGATTAGGTTTCAGCTTCATGAGCCAATCTCATCAGTCTTTCAGGAATCAGCATTCACACTAATATTCTGCAGAATTTCTCTGGTTTTATCTGATTTTCAAATTTTAGTTTCTGGATTTTGTTGAAAGTGGCAAAAGGTTTAAAGTCTGATATTACTAAAGGTTTCACTTCACATAATTTGAGTGTTTTAGTTTCTTTGCAGCTCCAGGATAAGACTCATCCTCTGGTTTCCAAACTGTTTAGCTTCAGTCTGTCAAAGTAACAGCAGCAGAACCTCTTAACGCCAATATTTTCTCTCTGAAGGTCATAAATATGACTAATAAAACAATTATCAAAATGTGCCATTAGATGTCATTTCAAATTGTATTTGATTTTTAAAGATTGTCCAACATGGGTCCAAATCCCGACTGTGGGAACCACGGTTTTTGTTAAATCTGAAGGCTTTACAAAAGCATAATGCTATAAAAACTGTGTTTATTTAAACAGTAGTAAGAGTTCAAGTACAGGAGCATCATACTTCTGCTGGGTACATGGGTTCTCCCTCCACCTCGAGAGTCAAGACCAGACTTCCTGGTAGGCTCTGGTGAAATAAAAGTGCAGTTACATTATTTGAACACAAAGCTCGCTCTAGGTTTACAGCTTTGTAAGTTCTTATGACATTATTTGCACAGAGTAGCATCCTCTTCCTTATTTTAAGACTTTATCAAGTGTTTTTCGTTTACTTGAGGACTTGGGTAAACCGTCTCCTATTGTGACCGTGAGGATCTTCCCTCCAGGTTTGAACTGGGCCAGAACCCCCTGACCCTTCTGGAACACCACCACTCTAGAGCTGCCTCCACCCCATCCCTCCTTTTTCACTCTAAACTCCAGTCTGAGAAACAGAAATGTGTCAGTGACCCATGTTTCTAACTGTACGTGTCAGTGACGGGTCTGTGGTACCTGTCAGCGAAGGAGATCGTCAGTTTTCTCTTCGTCACTTCCTCGTAGCGTTTAGAGAGCAAACTGAGGAACTCTGTCTTAAAGTTGGACTCTAGCAGACTGTCGTACTGGACCTCGTGGATAATGAAGAAATCATCCTGTCTTGTACTGCAAAATAAAACAAAACACAGCTTCAGATTACAACAGGAAAAGGAAGCAGTGGTTGTAACTCAAACTTTGAATGAATTAATAAATGTCTTTTTCAGGGTGGGAGTTGGACTCCACCAGGGCTGCCTGTTGTCACTGATTCTGTTCATAACTTTTATGGACAGAATTTTGTGGTGCAGCCAGGGGGCGGAGGGATTCCGGTTCGGTGGCTTCAGGATTCCATCTCTGCTCTTCGCAGATGATGTGGTCCTGTTGGCGTTATCATGTCGTGATCTCCAACTCTCACTGGAGCGGTTCGTAGCTGAGTGTGAAGTGGCTGGGATGAGAATCAGTACCTCCAAATCTGAGGCCATGGTCCTCAGTCGGAAAAGAGTGGATTGCTCTCTTTGGGTCGAGGGTGAGGTTCTGCCTCAAGTGGAGAAGTTCAAGTATCTCTGGGTTTTGTTCACAAGTGAGGGGACAATGGAGCGTGACATTGATAGATGGATGGTGCAGTGTCTGCAGTATTGTGGACTCTGTACCGGTCTGTTGTGGTGAAGAGGGAGCTGAGCTGTAAGGCAAAGCTCTGTTTACTGGTCAGTCTGCGTTCCTACCCTCACTTATGGTCATGAACTCTGGGTAGTGACCGAAAGAACGAGATTGCAGATACAGACGGTTAAAATGAGTTTCCTCCGTAGGGTAGCTGACCCTCCTTTAGAGATAGGGTGAGAATTTCAGTTATCCAGGAGAGACTCTGAGTAGAACCGCTGCTCCTCCACATCGAGAGGAGCCAGTTGAGGTGGTTCGGGCATCTGGTAAGGATGCTTCCTGGGCGCCTCCCTCGGGAGGTGCTTCGGGCATGTCGAACTGGGAGGAGACCCCGGAGAAGACCCAGGACACGCTGGAGAGACTACGTCTCTCAGTTGGCCTGGGAACACCTTGGAGTCCTCCCAGAAGTGCTGGAAGAGGTGTCTGGGCCTCCCTGCTCAAACTGCTGCCCCACAACCCGACTTCGGAACAAGCGGAAGATAATGGATGTATGGATGTCTCCTAAAGAGGATCTATCTGCACTGTTAGTAAAATATATTTTAAACCACTCAAAAACCATTCATAAAGGCAATTACTGGCTGTAGATGTACAATTGAGTAACACTTTGAGTCAACCCAATTCAAGATAGCTGCAACAACTAATTGACCTCAGCCAACACAAAAATGGCTGCAACTCAGTAGATTTTACAGATAGAGAATACATTTGGTTGGTAATTTATAATATTAGAATTTTAGCAGTCATAATATAGGTATGATGCCATGTGACATTTGTGGGGAAATGCCAGGCTATAAGAATTCAAAAAAGTCCAAATGCTATGTACTCGGGTACAGTATAAAGGTGTGAACATGCTGTAGTTATTCTGACCACGACAGCTTGGTCTCAGGATGTGGTTTGTGACAGAGCTGCGCTCTTGCTCTTTATTTTGTCTTACTATCAATGACAGATGTGTTCACATTAAGGCGCACTGCTTGTGTCAACTGGAGCCTCACCTGAGAGAGACACCGGAGATGTTTGCAAAGTCCAGTTTCCGTTTCAGCACCTCTTTGATCAGCCCTTTCTCAGGTCCCTTCTTCACCTTCTCTCGACCAATCAGATAAATGCACTTAGGGGTCAAGATCAGGTCTCTCTTGATAGACTGTGTGGAGGCAAATGAGGAAGTGAGAAATGTAGGCAATGAAGGAAAAAGGAAGAAGGGTGTCCGTACAGAATAAAAACTATGTTTCAAAAAGTTCCTCACTTTGAACCTGCGGTCGAACTTGTTCACCGAATCAGCAAAGTCAATGCGCTCTCGCTTGGCCAGAAACTGCCGCAGCTCGGGTCTTTGGTCCAAGCCGAGGTAATCTCCAACAAAGTTCCTGTTGATGCTGTTCTTCCTCCGCTCTTTGGAGTTGTACAGGATGTCCGAGGCTGAGCGTTACGAGGAGAGACAAACGGTTAAGACCATAACGAGTGAAATATTGACCTGATCCGAATCAGTGGCTGATTAACAGAACACGAAGAGGTAATTCATCCAGAGAGTCAGGTGTGTTGGACCATTGAAACAAGTAAAACAAACAGGAAAGTGGCCCTCGAGGACCAGTATTGGACACTTCAGAGAAACCTTGTTTTTCTCACTCACCTTCTTCTCTCATCTGTTCATACTTCTTCCTGGCGTTGTATTTTCTCCAGGCCTTTTGAATAATTCTGGCGAACGTGTCAAACTTCCTCTCCCTCATCTCCTCAAGAAGAAAGAGCTGAAGGAAAAAAAACAGCATGTTGTGAGGGGCCTTCAATGATGTCAGATTCAAGGGGTTGAATAATATGTCAACACCATTCTGTCCTTTTAATGTGTTTATAATTATAACCCTAAATATGAGGTTTTATGAACTCATCAGTGTGATTCATTATGTTAAAACCCTCTAAATGTCTCACCTTGGATCACTATATGAGCTAATAAGGAAGTAACGGTTCAGAAAATTTGCACAGCAGTGTTTACCCTTCCTAGCCCTCGCGACTCACAGTCCTGCATATTTAGATGTGCATGTGGTTTAAAGAAATGGGTCGGCCACAGAGAGTTTATTTTTATTATATAAAGTGTGTTGGAGCAGGTAAACATGTAAAACATGTGGAGAAGTGAACCCTGCAAGACTGAGCATCTCTGTTATAAACTGCTGTCATCCTATCACAGTATATACTGTATATTTATTTATTAGTTCCTGTGGTTCTGGAACTTGTTAGTAATTTTATTCAATTTTTGTGGATTAAAAAATAATAAATCTGCTTTCCAAGGAAGTACATAGCATTTGTAGCAAGGATACTAATGTGCAACACTTCTCTCTATGTGGGCTTTAAGAAAACTAACATGGTTAAATTTAACAGCAAAAACCTGAAGGCCTTAAAGAAATGCATTTCTCTTATACTTATTTAACTCCTCATACAATCTTATAGTTTAATTTCTGTTAAATTGGTTATGGTCATTTTTGTGTTTGTTACATTTACTGAACTGTTGCGAGCATTTTGAATGGTGTTCACTCCAAACGCCCTTAAAATACATATTTGTTCAAAGATTTGGACACAATTTGCTTAATATAAAGTAAAATGCAACCATGTTCAGTCAGGTCATCTGGATGGTTTCTTTTTTTTTTTTTTTTTGGCCTGAAATGTTTCGTCCTTCATCCAAAGGATGCTGTATGCAACTATGTGGCAAAACACCCAACTTTGGTGTTTTGAACCATTTTAACCATGACTGAACCATTGTTGTCTACTGTTGTCATCTGTGTTCTTTGTTTAAATCAGGTCTCTCTTGTAAATGAGTCCTCGAGGCTCAATGGGTTTAACCTGTCAAAATAAAGGTTGAATGTAAAAAATATTTTGGCATGGCTGCCTTAGAGGAGTTGACGGGAGAGAGGCCGAGCCTCAGAAACCATCTTATCACCAGCCAACTGGATTTTTCCAGTATGGGAGTTGGTGCTTGTGGGACTCCAGTTTGTTGGTGGTTCCTCGGACTGAATAAGTCCTTTGGATGAAGGCTGAAATGTCTCAGCAAAAAAAGAAACTGTCCAGATGACCTGACTGAACACTGGTGGATTTTTATCCGGATTTTTGAACATGACATTTGGTATAACGTAAAATGCAGCTAAAGGTAAAACCTCTGTACCGATTCTGGGTTCTTGACGAAGACTTTGGTCCGTCCCATCTGGTACTGATCGTTATCCATGTTGACTGACCGGAGCAGATGGAGGACCCCCTGCTGCTCTGGGCCTCTCCAGCAGGGCCATGTTTCCTGTGTTAGAATGGCGTATCTATTGTCGGAAAGATAACAAAACACACAGCAAGTTTTTTTCAGGGATTTTCATTTGGGGCACACAAAAGGTGAAGGTGTCTCTAAAATTAAAAATAAGTCACCTCATCAGAAACTTATTGAAGACCCTGCGGTATGCAAACCCAGCTCGTCGTACTCGGATGTTTTCTCGCAGCCCGAGATATTCGACTTGATGCTTCACCCTAGAATCAAGTCAAATATTGGTTTTAATGAGGCAGAATCTCCTGCTGTGTGTCTTATTGCATGACAGTGAGCCTGCAGACCTGCTCTCCTCCCAGTCTTTGGGCCTTTTCGTCTCGTTTGGTTTGATACAGCGGATGTAGTGAGGAGTGCACTTCATCAGCGTGTTCACCAGTTCGTTAGCTTGTCTCTGTCGGAAGCATCAACACAAAGCATGAGCTTTTCCTCCGTGCGACGTAGAATGAGCAGATCCAGAGGATGAACCCCTTACCTTGATCTTTGAGCTCGCTGTGGTCGGCCTCCCCTTCTTGTCTGTGTTCAGGTTTTCAGGGAATAAGCTCCGGTTGAAGCCACTGGAGGAACAATTTCACTTTTCAGTGCGTGTTGCAATCGAGCATGGCACAAGTGGAATTATTTTATTGGGAAACAAAACTTACAATTCACTACTTTGCATGAGCTCGATGAGGTCAGGAAAAAGGACGTCTCGATTTCTCTCACAGAAGCCGTTGATATCATACGACACCTGAGTTTACAAATCAAACATTGTCAACCCGTTGATGTGACTCACATATCAAACACACAAGGCTGCCAGCGCGTTGCTCAAAACTCAAAGTGGAAAAACTAGAAAATCTGCTAACAGCTTTAACTACGGTAACTTTAACTAACACACCTTCCCGGCATAGTGATGTATGACAAAACCGGAGTTCCAGCTGTTGAAATGTTCATGGCTTCCCACTGCCGCCTGCAGTTTCTGCAGCAGAGTGCCGTCTGCACCCTCTCCTTTGGCATGCATGGTGGCACACACATCATCCAGCACGCTCATAATACCAGGAGGGTTCTGAAAACAGGTGGCGTTTTAAAAAGTTTTCTGAAAATGGCAAGTAACTTTTTGTCATTAGAGGTATTTTAATGAACAAAAAGATTTCCCTTATGATTACACAGCATAAGAATATTTACTGGAAATAGTGTGATAAGATAATATAAAGAAAAAAAAACACTAAGTTGGTTGTCTGTGCTACATCCAGAAAGAATATAAACGTAGATTTTATGTATTGAGTATGAGCTTACCACTTTATTTTCAATAAGGTCACACACAATCTTGTTGTTGAAGTACTCAATCGGTGTCCATTTAATGCCCTCCTGAACATACTCTTCCTAAAATATATGAAACTGGTTTAAATGTTATTATTATTATTTTAATTATTGTCATATGCAGGTTAACACAAGGTCAATAATGCAATGAAATGTTCAGGATGAGAAGAATCGATTTTACTCGCGAAAAAAGCAAAAAAAACAAGAAATACTAAAGAATGCGATAAGGGTACAAAATAAAGTACCAAAAAGTGAAAAAGAAATATAATATTTACAGGGTCCCAAAGAAAAATAGTGAACAACAACATGGCAGAATATAACGATGCAAGTAGGATGAATTAGTATAAATAAGCATTTCACAGGTAGTAATATAAGCGTAAATACACATGATATATATTGCACATAACTAACATAAACTACAGAGATTGTGTGACAGGTTACTGCACAGGTAGTGAGTAACATAGTGACCAGTGCCGGCCCAAGCCTCCATGAGGCCCTAAGCGAAATTAGGTTTGGGGCCCTCTATTTCTGCTAATAATATTGATTACTGCAATCAGCAGTCAGATGATCAGATCATTCACCCACCTAACATAAACTCATTGCAACTCTGAGAGGCCTGTTTAAATTATCCTATATGTATAAATCATGTGGTACTAAAAGTAACAAAAGAAGTAAAAAACACTAGTATGCAATGTATTTTACAGAAAGAGTGTAATCTGGTTCATTATATTTGGTTCCAAAGACCTGCACCAGTAATGTTCAAAATAATTTCTAGTGCAAGATCAACAGCAAGCAGATAAAATAACTTAGATGCATAAAAATAAATTATATTGTGCAAAAACAGACAAAATTAAATAAAATAAAAAAAACAACATAGCAAGGACATACTTGATTAACGTAAATGAACAATTACTTGAAACCACGTAAAATGGTTTTAAAAAATAAATTTTAAGTTGAATAATTAGTTCTTAAAACTATATAAATGTATGCAATTTGTAAAAGCTGATCTTAAAATGTTAAACAACCTTTACCCACATATTTGACCTGTTTATGTTACTTATTCCTCAATTCTTCACAAACTTCCTAAAACCTGTGCTTCCACTTAGGGGGCCCCCTAGTGGCCCCGGGACCCTAATCAAAAGCTTAGTTTGCTTATTCCTTGGGCCGGCCCTGGTGACATGATACAGCCACAAAATAGTGCAGCAGCAATAAACATCTTCGGTGTCACAGATGTGGCTTGGTGCAATGTTATTGCCAGTTGTTTAGTATATTATCAGTAATCTGACAGTTTGTGGGTTTATCGCTACACCCAGATTAAATAATTCCTTAAAGTGAAGACAAGACAAACAGTAAAAAAACAAAAAACTGTAGTTACCTGCTCAGCTTTCAGCGTGAGTTCAATGAAGATCTGCTGGAGTTTCTCGTTGACAAAGTTTATACAAAACTGCTCAAACCCATTTCTCTACAGAAGAAAAATCAACAACACTGTGTCAGATTGTTGCTTTAACACCCAGTAAAACTATGACTTTATATTTTAGTGGCTGCCTGTATAATATTCTGTATGACTGTAGCGCACCCACCTGGAATATCTCAAAACCATAAATGTCGAGCACTCCAATACTGAATTCTTCATGAGGTTTCTGAATGGCTCTATTTATGGCCTGGTGCAGACAGAGTCAGGAGGAAAGAGACGTGAATTGAAATACTCATTAAAAAAACATCAATAATTCACTTTATTTAGTTTGTTGTGGCTGCAACTGTATAAAACAACTACCTCTACTAGATAGTCAAAGAGGCGTGCATAAAGGGCTTTGGCCAGAGCGTCCCGTGTGTAGGTGGCCTGCTCCTGGTTGAGGGTCACGTTAATGGATTCAGACTTCCCTCCCCACTTTGAGTCCATCTTTCGACTGGTCAGCTTGTCTTGAAGGCGGTTAGGGTCGATGCCCAGCAGATAGGCAGGGAAGGCGAGTACTGGTCAAGATTTAAACAAAAGTTGCATGTGAATGACAAGAAATTACACTAAATATATTAAAAATAAGCCTGTTGTAAAGACATTTGTGTCACAGTCTGTTGATTTATTTATTTAGTCCCTTGGGTTAATCTTTTAGTTGTATTTAACCTTGTGTTTTAATGCGTTATCTTTCTGTTCCTGATGATTCAACTCAACCCCTATAATCCCTGTGTCATTTCTCATTTCCCCCCTGAGTCAGCCTCCTCATCATTTATGTTCTTTGTCAGCCTTTTGTGTTTGTTTATTTAATAAACAAATTTTATCTTACTCAAGCTCCTCATGTCTGCCTGCATCTGGGTCCAACCAGATTGAGATAATTTAGGATTAGCTTCAAAAACAGGACCGGAAAATACCTCACATTGTACGTGTAAATGTAAACAAAAACTTCCTGCAACACATGGAACCAGATATTTGTATTTTATGTGAACAAACCGTATGAGTGCTGAATGTTGACTTAGCTAAAGAAGCTGAATCTGAGTTGTTAATGCTAAAAGAAGCTAAATACTAGCTAAAAGCTCAAAGAAGTAAAATGTTAACTATAAGCTAAAAGTGATAGAATTTTGGCTGAAAACTAAGTGTGAAAATTTTAGATAAAAGCGTAAAGCAGCAACATTCTAGCTAAAAGCTAAACATAGCAATATGATAGCTTAAAGGTAAAAGTAGCCAAAGGCTAGCTAAAAGTGAAATGCAGTATACTGAAGACCTCCTAATGTATTTATATGGGAAAAAATATTTTAAAATACAGTTAATTTTGAAAAGTATAAGGGGCTATGGTAGCTTGGTGATCATTGCTGCCGTCTTTTAATTCTGAAGCTGTGGGTTCGAGCCAAAGTGCTGTCAGGAAGGAGATTCGGCATCAAAACTGTTGCCAATTTTTTGTGTGAGTTTGCTTGCGGTGATGATGATCCCCACAGAGGGGAGCAGCCGAAAGAAAAACTTTTTGAAAAGTGTAAAATGTACTAAAAGCAAAAGTCATAGCGCCATATCTCCTGAATGAGCTGAACGCTTTGACGCGTGAACGATCACAATAGCACAAAGTGCAGAAATAGTTAGATTGTATAAAACATAAAATAAAATAGGAAAACAATAGTTTTCTGTAAAATGACGCTAGATGATAAATCTGCCAGAGTGTAAACACCAATAATATGCTGAGTAGGGACTCCCTTGGCAACACAAGGCAAAAAGGAAGAGAACTTGTTTGTGTGAACGTTTTATCAATTAGCTGAGATTCCGCCAACGGACTGCTTTCTCTGTGAGCTCTAATTTACTCAAATCCTTGCGGGACGCATGAGCGCATGAGTCTGGAGGAAGAGTCTAAAGGTGTGTTTGACTCACAGTCTGTGCTCTCCACCTGCCCATAGTTGCCCGTCTCTATGAAGCTGATGTTCCCCAGGTGGAGGATACCTGCAGTGATCTGCAGCACCTGAGTCTGGATGTCACCTGGGATGCCGATCACCTGCATGGCCTCCTGGAAACATAATGAGGGGAGCGCATGGTAACAGCTCATATTTCTAACACAAGCGGAATCATACAGATCTTTTTTTCCATACATATTCACTTACTCCTCTCACTAAAACAGAAATGTGCTATTTTACAACACATCACTGTGTACTTCTATTATAGGCTCAAATACTATTCAGTATTTTAACTGTTTGAACTAAAACAACATGCAGAGTTTGGGATTTTTGACAAGAATGCTAAATTGACTTTACAATTCCATTTTACATAACAAAACAATGGTCAAAAATAATGTTTTCTTCTATGAAAAAGGTGTAAAACTTACAAATTAGTTTAATTTGCATTGCTTATTTAGGCAGAACATTTGTTGTTAAAGTATTTACCTTTTTACAGAGAAATTAGCCGTGCCCTTAACAAGACAACACTTGTTTGGTACATAAAATTAAAGAAATGGGTGAAAGCAGAGGAATTAAACTCTACTAAGTATTTTAGCCACTGGGTTTGATCAGTGGTAACATCGATAAATCATAGCATGTTTAGGCAGGTTTATGATAAGTTATTTTTGTATGTTTTGCGCTTCTTGACGTCACGAAGTAAACCTGTAGCGTGTTAAATATGCATAGAAACACCAGACCATCTCCTTCACTGTTTAGGCCCTACAACTAATTTTACCTCCCCTTATACATCAGAGAGAACAACTCTATTCAAAAGGGATTTATCTATTTAGCTTAATATGTTTGGGTCTTTAATTATTTGTTGACAAGAATAAATGACAAGGCAAAAGAGACAACTTAACAAAAAATAAAACTGTAGAGTGGCTTAATGGAACAAGACATAGATTTTTCTTTTTATTTATTTATTTATTTTTTTCTGAAAGACAAAAAAATATGTATATTTTTCTTTTTAAATTAAGTACTGTCACTGTTAGCTTGCAGGAGACGTGATCATGTATGAAATGGAGGTCAATTTAATATAAACTAGAAAAACAAGCATTTTCTGAGAAAATGCAATGTTACTGTTGAACAGCTAAATTTTGTTGGTGGTAAAACAGGACTAATAAAAGCTAAAATTAGCAAAACAGTCTGTAAAGGTTAGCAAAACAGTAGATACTGGCCAAAATTAACAAAATAAAAGCCGAAATGAACTGGAAAGCTTCTAAAAGCTACATTTATCAGCAGTAGCTAAATGCTTAAACCAGTAAAACAGTTGCTGAACAATAAAATTAAAGCAATTTTGCTATTAAATTTCCAAAAACACAAAGGCTTTGAAGAGATTTCTGAGAAAAAAAAACAGATTGTAAATAAAGTTAAATATTTGTAGCTTAATATAAGTTACTAAAATCAAACGTCAAAGCTGTAATCTTCTGATCGGGCTGAACGTTTTGGTATATAAAAATTAAATAACTGAAAGTAAAGTAGTAAATGGACTGTACTTATATAGCACTTTCCTATTTTATCAAGATACTCAAAGGGCTTTAAACTACAATCTGTGTACTCATTCATACAGCACTCTACTATATCTCTACAAATATTAATCAGCGCGTTATCACATTCATACACCAATGGGACACACATCATCACACATCAAAGTATGCTAAAGTAGTTATACCCCAAGTAAATTACTGTGAAAAGGGAAAATACTAGTGAAAATGCATGTTCTGCTAAAACAGCATTCAAACAGAGCTTTCCACAGTAAGTACCATAGTTTCCTGGAAATCTTTGCTGTCATTGGTCCCATCCACCTTGTAAGTCCCCGACTGGTTGAGGTAGTAGTAATAGTCTGGAGTCATGATGCCCAGACCTTCTTTCTGCTGTGCATTGGTACCCTCTATCAGCTGAAAGACCACACAGTACAAGTACACAAAATATCAAACGAAGAACTTTTTCTTGGTCTGATTTTGCTCTTCGTGCAGCACTCAGCAGGTTTTGACACAGCTGATGGCGCGCTGTTTGTGCTCATCTGTCGCTGACCTGATAGTAAATGTGGAAGTTCCTCTCACTCTCATTCTGGCTCACCACCCTTGACTTCTCCAGCAGGAAGTTCGAAATTTTGCCACCATCTGGCTCTCCGCCTCTGCTGAACTGAATTTCGAAGTATTTCCCCTGGTAGATGCAAGATAAAATCAGTACTCACATTGTGACAAACAGGCTTGTACGCAGATGCACCTGCTTCCCAGGTCAAGGAGGCCTCAGTGTTAAGACTCGTGGGCCACTTTGACCCAAGGGCAGCAGGAGGGTTGACATGTTTCATCGTACAATTAAACTCGCATTGACTTAAACAAGGACAGAGCATAAAACATAAAACACTGTACACATACTAAAAAAGTAGAATGCAAATAAAAGTTTATAGAGGAAAAATAACACATTTAAAACTATTTTATTAATTGAAAATGTGTAAATTGTCAAAGTTTAATGAAATATGTTTTTCAGTATTTTGCGACAATATCATTTCTTAACAAAAATTATTATTGATGTAAAAAAATGAAAGCAAATAAGCAAAAATAATTAGGTCTTTAATATTTTCAGACCCTTTCCATGAGCACTGAAACCCAAAAAACATTCAACACACCGAAAGTTTTAGATTTATTTAGAGATAAAAATATGTTCCTAAAAACACAGTGAATGTGCCATCTTTGCAGAAGCATGTGAAATAGCATAATTTGCAGACAATTAGTGATGAAAAGCCTTGCAATGTTTAGGTAGTGCATTATTATCAAACCAATAAAAGCAAAGTCCTTAAAACGGAGCCTTGTGGTACACCCACTGAGCAATTTTAAACATTTATTTTTAACCATTAAGTTTGTCACATAATAACATTAGACATTGGGATCAGATGTGGTTCAATCAATACAAAATTTTATCAAATAACATATGATTTATTTGTACAAAAGTGCATGCATGCATGGAACAGCGGTGACACAAACAGAATCTTTGATGCTTCATTACAGGAAACTAGAAATTGATGTCTGGTGTTTGAGTTGCACGGATGAAAGAAGATGTTGTTTTGGTGTGAAGTTAGTTCCTCTGAACCCCACCATTGAGAAACTAGTGAGGCTTTAAGGGTGTGTGAATAAACTAACAGCATAAATAAGTTTTTTACTTTTAGCTAGCTTTTTGCACATTACTTCACATTATATTATACATTACTTGACAAGCTAAAGTGTCTGCATTTAATTACAAATGATAAAGTCATGCTGTGTGACTTATAAGTTGATGATGAAAAAGATAATCAATACATGTGAAATTCAGTGGAAAAAAAACGCGTGCGTGAGATGCTGCGTCGTTGATCTTACGTACAAAGCGACTAGAGTTGTTGTTTCGGACAGTTTTGGCGTTGCCAAATGCCTCCAGCAGTGGATTTGACTGTAGGATGATGTCTTTTACATGCTGCAACATAAACAGTGATGAAGAGTAAAGAAAAAAAACTAAACTTTGAGAACATTATTTTTGAGTGATTTTGAACTGATTCGTTAACTCTACCTGCACTTTGGAACCACCTCCAGATACTTTGGAAATGTAGCCCATGATGTATTTGGCAGCCACTGTCTTCCCTGCACCGCTCTCACCGCTGCCAGAAAACCACAACATCATGAAAAGTTGGATAAAAAAAAAAAAAGACTTTTTCACAAACTGCACAAACACGACACACAAGACAAGAAAAGGCCAAATATAAACCACACACGGAACACAAGAAGACGTGGCATTTTCTGTAAAAATGCAAAACTTTGCTGAAATTTGCTGGAGACACTGAAACTGAGCTGTTAAAACTAAATGAAGCTTAACATGGGCTAAAAGCTAAATGATACAGAATACTTACTGAAAGCTCAAAGAAGCAAAACAATAGCTAAAATGAAGCAACATTCTAGCTAATTATTTCTTACTAATATTTATATTCTACCTAAAAGCCAAGAGTGCTGACGTAAGTAACAATATACTAGCTAAAAGCTAAAAGTATGAAATGAAAAGTATCAAAACTAAACGCTAAAATTAGCAGAACACCAGTTAAAAGCTAAAAGTAGTGAAACATCAGCTAAAATCTAAATGTAGCAAAAGCAGCAGGTCAAAGTAGCACAATGCTATCAAAAGATAGTGCTTTATTTCATGTCTTTTATTGGGCATGGTGATTTATTTCATGTTGCTGTGTTCATTCGTCCTCATCTGCTCACACAGACTCATGTTCGTGCTGCTGTTTGGCGCATTGTTTTGTACTATTAGTGCTTAGCGTATTCTTAGTTTAGCACATTTCTTAGTTCATATCCTAGATCTCATTACTGTTGTTCTTTACAATTTGTATTTTTGTTGGATGTAACTGGGACCCTGTGTACATAGTTTTGTTCCACCTCATGTACCACATGTGATGTGAATGACAATAAAGACATCTTGACCTTGACCTTGAAAAAATAGTGGTCTTGTGGTAAACGCAGCAGAATGGTAGCAGAAAGCTAATTTTAGCAACAACAAAAAACGAAGAGCAGCTTTCGTGATGCATATTTCAAACACAACAATGTTCTTGAAGGAACTGAAGAGATTTCAGAGTATTTCTATTTGGAAAATATTTGTAAATAAAGTTTGAGACTTTGTGACCTCGCCGACTATCATACACCTTGCTCTTGGAGTGATCTGTGTTGGTCCACCACTCCTGGGGAGGGTAACAATGGTCTTGAATTTCCTCCATTTGTCCTCAATCTGTTTTAACTGTGGTCCAAACTCTTTAGAGACGGTTTTGCAAACGTTTCCAGCTTGATGAATGTCAACTCTTTTTCTGAGATCCTCATAAATCTCCTTTGTTCGTGTCATGATCCACTTCCACAAACATGTTGTGAAGAGCCGACTTTGATTGTTCTTTTAATCAAACTGGCTGCTCACTCACACCTGATCATCATCCCATTGATGGAAAACACCTGACTCTTAAATTCCCCTTCAAATTAAATGCTAATCCTAGAGGTTCACATCCTTTTCCATTCAAAAATTATGTAATATTGGACAATTTTCCTCAATAAATAAATCACAAAGTATAATATGTTTGTCTCATTCATTTAACTGGGTTCTTTGTATGTACTTTTAGGACTTGTGTGCAAATCTGATGGTGTTTTAAGTCACATTGATGCAGAAATATAGAAAGTAATGCAGGGTTCACAAAATTTCAAGCACTGCTGTAAAATAAAGAAAGTCATAGCACCCGTCTCCTGAAAGAGCTGAACGTTGTAATGCATAAATGGTTAAAATAGCACAAAGCGTCTAGAAGCTGTTAGAGCGCAAAGCACGCACGGACAACAAACAAACCCCAAAAACAAGAGAGTGAAAGCGCAAGGATGAGAGCAGAATAAAAACCAGTGTGAGGTTCAAAATGAACCGCTTAGATCACCTAATAATAACACACTGATTCTCCCCATCGATCATCATGTTCCTGTACATGTTGTCAGTCAGGGCGTAGATGTGAGGCGGGTTCTCGTACTGGGCCTGCAGAGGGACACAGCTCAGGTAACGAGGACGGGGTACACAGTGGCAGGAAGAACCCCTGCAGCGCGCACGCCACAAGTCTGCAGACATTACAGAGAGGTTTACTCACTGCGCCCTGGTAGAGTTCGATCTCTCTGTCAGTGAAGTAGGGCATTTGCTTAAACGGATTCACAGAAATCAAAACAGGACCGATGTAGGTCTGAGGAGAACAGTCAAGGATGGTTTCGTCTGTAATATCGCCGGAGTTGGGTCAGAGCTGAGAATCGTTTCCAGAAGGAGCTTTGGTTAAAACTTTGATGTTACTTGTCTGTTAGCAAAATACCTTCTCACCCACAGAAAATATTGTAATGAAACTGTTGGAAAATAATCATGGGATGTACGCTGTTGCTCGGCGTGTTGTTTTTGTACTTTTAGTGCTTCGTGTATTCTTAGTTTAGCCTATTTCTTAGTTCATATCTTAGATCTTATTACTGTTTTTCTTTACAATTTATACTTTTGTTGGATGTAACTGGGACCCTGTGTACACAATTTTGTTCCATCACATGTGGTGTGAACGACAAAGAAACTTTGACTTTACAGTCAACCAAATTTTAAAAGGCTGCCACACCTATATATCTAAATAGCTACATTTTAGATGTGCTTTGTGCTTATATTTTCTTTATACACATCAAAGTTCATGCTCAGTAATCCAGGTAATAATCCAACAATGTTCAGTCACGTCATCTGGACTTTTTTTACACACTTAACTCTGACATCATACCGTAATTTTTGTCAGTGATCAACTTTTCTTCGCTGATTAAGAACGCAGCTTTAATTTTGAATTTTTACATTTTAAAGATCCAAATAAAACAACTCGTTTTATTTGTTCCGGGACGTTGAACTCTGAACTCAAATGTAAAAAAAAAGTTATTTTTATCTGCAGCACTGCGGTTGGGTGACAGATGTCACGACCCACAGAGCAAGCTGGCATGTGGGTGGGGAAATACTAGTTCTGCCTTCTTTTAAAAATTACCTTATTATTTACTGAAAGTGTAGCATTTCTGGCTATGACGTAACACCCTCCATTCTTTTCTGTAAGTCTGTAAAATAATCTGAGCATGCAAGATTTTCTTAAGGAAAACTCTTACTGCAGGCAAAATGTCACCTCTCAGCTTATCCTGCTTTAAAAATTATTTTTAGTTCAGCTGATGGAGCTGACTGAGCCATGACTACTTTGTGATTTTAGTTCCAGTTTAGCTCCAGAGTTTCTGTCATCTGTTCTCACTGACAAATTTAAAGTGTGAATGAAGTCATTTAGACTGTGGCTTTTGATTCTGAGTTAAAAGATCAGCTGTAAGAAGACAGAAGTGAGCCTCTGACTCATGCACTTCGAGCAAAGGAGGGAGTGGATTTCTTTTTTAATGCCCATATATGTTTGCTCTATAGATGTTTGTTCACGGCTGAGTGAGTTTAGAGGTGGAGGTGGGGGGTGCACGGAGGGCAGGGCATTGAAACTATAGAGTAAAACTTATTTGATTCATTCAAACTTGTATATTTTTAAAGCCTAATTTATTAAATATGGTCGATTTTGCTTATAATGTTTTAAAAAAATGTATATTTTAATGGAAACTTCCGCAGTTTCAGATGTTGCCAACATGTGTAACAGCTGGCTTTAGTTTTATAAACGAAAGCTCGTAGGATACAAAGATATAGTCGTCCATGTATCTTTTCTTGAGGTTTTCCACGATGGCATCCTCGGTGATCTTGGAGAGCAGGACCATGTCGTCCACTCCGCTTTGCTTCACATTTTGACTCTGCCAGTGGTACTTTGCCTGAAGCACACAGCAGAACACAGACAAAACTAAAGAAAAATAACACAAAAAACTCAGCGTTCACATGACATTCAATGCCAAAATGCTCCATTAAAAGAATACTGAAATTTATAAATTGCTAAATCTGTTTGTGAACTTCCCAAATGGAAGCAATAATTCTGAGAGAACAATTATTTTATTTGCAGATGCAGATGGGATTAGATTAGATTAGATTAGCTTCCCTCAGGAAGATTCCTTCAGCAAACACTGTGTACACTAAAAACACTTTTGTTTTTTTAGATATATATAT